GTGGATGGATGGATGGATGAGTGGATGGATGGATGAGTGGATACGTAAAATAAATAAAGACAAATCCTAAAAATATAACACCAAGTGGAAAACGTAAGTTATAAATGACATGCCCAGTGTGATACCAGGTATATATATATATTCATTTTTACACAATAACACAACAGTATATAGAGACCACTGATACATATAAAAAGAGGAAAAGGGACGAGAGGAATTCACAGTGAATCATGGCAGTGTCTGCCTCTGAGCAGAGGGGCCTGGGCAGGAGGATGAGGGAGACTTGAGCTGTATCAGAAACATTTTAACCCTGTGATTGAAAAAAGACAAAATGTTAACCACTGTCAATTCTACCTAATAAACAATAAAGCTGGTATGTATGATATTATTCTTTGTATTTTTCCTATATTTCAAATTTTCTCTCAATGAACAAAAGATACACCAATCTGGAACCTAAGGCATTCCGCGGCCCCTTGGGGGCTTCCCTGGCTGAACTGGAGTCGGCCCTGGGCCTCACTCCACCGCCATAAACCAAGTTCCCGAAGGAAGAACACTGTCACCGTCATCACCTTCTGCCCATTGAGTCCTCGTCGATGACTTTTTTAGGGCAGAAGATGTACTCAAGTCAGGGTCATGTACAACTAATTTTCTAATCAAGTCTAAAATCCCAAACAAGTTTCCTTGTGGTCAGCAAACAAGCAGGCGAGAAAGGAAAATCTGGCACAGGAAAATCTGAGAACAAAACGGCAGAACAAAAGACGAAAGAACATTTTGATGCAAGAGTTTCTCACCTCTGCATTGCCTCGGCTACTGGGTGACCCGTGAGGCCATTTAATGGAGACATTTATAAGGCACCAATGGGATAAGCGTTGTTTTCAGGGGAAGACCTAGGGGGGTGGGCTTGCCTCCAACAGGAGAAGCGGATAACAGGAGTGAGTAGATATGAGCTGCCTCCCAGGCCACACATCACCTGATCCCGCTGACGTGGAACGTCCACAACAGGCAGATCCATCGAGACAGAGAGCAGATAGTGGTCGCCAGGGACTGGGGGAGGGGTATGGGGACGCCTGCTAACAGGTGCGGGGTTTCCTTCTGGGGTGATGAAATGTTCTAAGATTGACTGCGGTGGTGGGTACCCTCACCTGTGAATTTACTAAAATCCACTGAACTTTTTTTTTCTTAGATTCCATATATATGTGTTAGCATACGGTATTTGTTTTTCTCTTTCTGACTTACTTCACTCTGAGTGGGAAGCAGCCGCATAGCACAGGGAGATCAGCTCGGTGCTTTGTGACCGCCTGGAGGGGTGGGATAGGGAGGGTGGGAGGGAGGGAGACACAAGAGGGAGGAGATATGGGGATATATGTATGTGTGTAACTGATTCACTTTGTTATAAAGCAGAAACTAACACACCATTGTAAAGCAATTATATTCCAATAAAGATGTTAAAAAAAAATCCACTGAATTGTACACTTTCAATGGGCAAAGTGTATGGTATGTGAATTCCATCTCAATCTTTAAAAGAAACAGAGTCTTTTTTTGTTCCTGTGCTGAGAAACTGCAAAGACGCAGGCAGGGTGTTGATACAAGTCTGACCCTTTGCTTGGCCAGAGCACAATCTCCTGCAAGGGCCACATGTGCTCTGATGACCTCGACTTTGTCATCAGGAACCTGTCCCCATCTCCACCTTCTCCCGCCACCCCTGGCCCCAGCCTCCAACACCCCCTACCCGCTGGACTCCTGCAGGGGCCTCCTACCTGCTTCTGCACCCCTCCCTCCTCCCCCGAGAGAAGCCAGGGTCCCCTTTCAACTATAAACGAGGTCACAGGCTCTGGGCCAAACCTCTCCAAAACTCCCACTGTTCTTCGGGGGGAATCACACCCCCTCGGCTCGGCCCCTACCCACCGCCCTCCGCCCTGTGCACCCGCCCAGCCGGCGGCCTCGGCCTTCCCCGCTGCTCTGACTTGCCAACCAAGTTCATTCCCACCTCAGGCATGCCACTCCGGCGACCCTCTGCCCAGAATGTTCTGGGCAACGATCCTTACAAGCCAAGCTCTCATCACCTGGGGCTCAGCTCAGATGTCACCTCAGCAGGCGAGGGCTGAGATGAATTCATAAAATGTCTAGCATTTGATCCTCTGTTTTAAATTAATTTTTATTGGCATATAGTTGATTTACAACGTTGTGTTAGTTTCAGGTGTACAGCAAAGTGATTCATTTATACATCTACATATACCCACTCTTCTTTAGATTCTTTTCCCAGGACTTCCCTGGTGGCGCAGTGGTTAAGAATCCATCTGCCAATTCAGGGAACACGGTTCGATCCCTGGTCTGGGAGGATCCCACATGCCGCGGAGCAACTAAGCCCGTGAGCCACAACTCCTGCGCTCCAGAGCTGCAAGCCACAGCTAATGAGCCCACGTGCTGCAACTACTGAAGCTTGCGTGCCTAGAGCCCCTGCTCCGCAACGAGAAGCCACCGCAATGAGAAACCCGCGCACCGCAACGAAGAGTAGCCCCTGCTCGCCGCAACTAGAGAAAGCCCACGTGCAGCAACAAAGACCCAATGCAACCAAAAATAAAGAAAAACTTTAGATTCTTCTCCCATATAGATTACTACAGAGTATCGGGTAGAGTTCCCTGTGCTACAAGGTAGGTCCTTGTTGATTATCTATTTTATATATAGTAGTGTGTATACGTTAATCCCAGTCTCCCAATTTATCCCTCCACCCCCCTTTCCCCTTGGTAACCGTAAGTTTCTTTTCTACATCTGTGACTCTATATCTGTTTTGTAAATAAGTCTGTGCATTTGATCTTATTCTAAGAACAGTAAGACTCCTGGACGGTGGTCTACAACACCGTAGACCTTTGTCTACAACAAAGAGGCAACCGGGTTCGCATTAAAAACAACTGCTTTCAGCACTGTGCGGAAAACTGCTGAGAGGAAAGAGGGGTCTGCAGCTCCCCTGGTCCAGGAGGAAGATGGCAGAGACAGGGCTGGGGTGGGGAGAGAGTGACACGGGTGCAAAGGGATTCAGAAGGTCAAAGGGCAGGACTCGGGAGCGGATTGGTTGAGGGGCGATGGAATGCTCGGGATAACTCCTGGGTTCCGGCTCAGACAACAGAATCAGAGAAGGTTCACAGCCCAAAGTGGGAACAACCCAGCTGGCCATCAACCGGGGAACGGATTCAGCCACACGATGGGCTACTACCCGGCGATAAAAAGGAAAAAACAGACAGATGCCACGACGGGGACGAACCTCACTCCCATGACGCTGGGTGAAAGAAGGCCACACCGCAGGTGACCTGTTCACGTGGGTGGTGCAGAAGAGGGGGCTCCATGGAGACAGAACACGGTTAGTGGCTGTCGGGGCTAGAAGTGGGGACGAGGAGGAAATGCAAACAGGCACAAGGTGGTGATGGGAAGAGTCCAGACCGAGGTGGCCGGGCAACTCAGCAGACTTACTGAAAACCATTGGACGGGGCCCTTAAGATGCGTGAGCTTCACGGCTTGTACATCACACCTCAGGAGAGCTGGGTTTTTAATGTAACCACTGGCCAAGAGAGGGAAACCAGGGGGCCAGCTGTGGGGTCAGAGGGAAGAAGCAAAGCGTCATGGCATCTGCTCCGGACCATGTGAGTCGAGGGGCCTCTGAGCTTTCAGAGGAGATGTCAAGGGAGAGATGAGGTCCAGTCCCCGGATGGGAGGTCGAGCTGGAGGCGTGACCGTGGTTGGGACGGCGTTGGACACACGTGGTAACAGGACCTCCCGCCAGCCGGAGGGTCAGGGAGGCCTTGCCGAGCTTGGTTGCCGTGAGACATGAGTAGAGGTGGAGGGATGAGGGAGCGGCAGAGGGATTCCAGGAGAAGGAATCCTGTCTGAATGTGAGACAAACCCAGGCAGGAGGGAGCCCGGGAGGGCCAGGCTGCAGGGGACAGGCTCGGCCAACCTGGGCTTCCTCGGCCTGAGCCTCCTGCCCTCCATTCGCCCAGTGCCTGGATGTCCAGAGAACATGGCAGAGGGTCCACCCAACCCACCACATTCCCTCTGGAAAGATGCGTCCTTGGCAGTCAACGACAAACCTTCTGGGAGTGGAATTCAGAGGCTGCAATTAACTCCCAGAAGGAGACTCTCACCTCCCGAGGGGCCCAGAGTGATGGACTGAACATGCACCCAGCCGTGTGCTCCGACGGAGCTTCTCAACGTGACGAGCCACTCCTGCACAGGCCTTCCAGAACCTTCTCTCACGATGCATGCCCACCTCCTGGTCTTTGCAGAGTGAGAGGCCAGCCGTCGGGGCTGGATTCTCAGCTACTGGAGGAGGAGATGGGCTCAAAAACGGATAGGACAGGCAAAGTCCTCCTCATATTCAAAACCCAGGGAAGCCTCAGATATAAAAAGCAAATACGACGGTTGTCCGCGGCAACAGGATAAGGATTTAAAACCCTGAAGGAGGAGGAAGTGAGCCCTCTGTGCTCTTGGAGTTCTGCTTTGATTCTCAGTGATGAGCCAGGGGACCCAAGGCCACGTGGGTGGAGCAACCCTGACAGCCCGACTGGAGGCAAGTGATGGATCGGGCTGGGGTGGGGGGCACTCCGGTCAGCTGATGTGGGCGTCAGGGCGGGGGAGGCAGGCAAAGCGGGGATGCAGTGGGGATGAAGGATGCGGCGGGGATCGGGGATGCTACGGGCTGCTGCTCTCAGGGAGAAATTTGAGGGAGAGAGGAACGGGTGGACAGAAACAAATTGCGGCTGAGGGGTCAGGAGAGCAGCTGAGATGCTCTTTCCTCAATGAAATAAACTCGAAGATGCAGTTATCTAATAAATGGAAGCATCGATTAAAGCAAAAAGGCATCTTCCAGAAGCCTCTGCCAGGTGGGCCAGGTTCCTGCACCTCCGTTAACTGGCTCAGACGGGTCGTGGGGACAGACACGTGGACCGACAGCTTCCCCGCAGCCACTCGGTGCCAACCCCTGGGTGGAGGTGGGCGTGGGGGCGGATGCTGTACACACCCAGGGGGATCCCGTCCCCTTCTGTTTTCCTCTGCGCCGTCCTTGTGATGTGACATTCAGGGAGGCTTGGGAAGGGGACTGTGAAGGTCCTGGTGCCAGCTCTGTCCCCACGTCCCCGTTTGCTGTGCTCCCAAATAGAAATCACACAAGAGCTATATAGTTTCTATTGATTTTGCCTCGTGTATCTTGCTTAAAAGGCCAAGTTTACCGACGGCTGCCAGAGCTCAACCCCACCGTAAGCGCCTTGTGCCTCTGCGATGCTCCAGCAAAGCACAAGGAAGGCCCTCCTGCCACACTCCAGAGCCCACCCCACCTGTCATCCCCGCGTGGCCTGCACACCCACCCACCCACCCGGGACTCTGCTCATCGGCGCGTGCGGGGGCCCCCGGGGAGCCTTCCTGGAAGGAGTATCAGGACTGCCAGAGACTCTCCATCCACGGTTCAACACTCCAGTCCCACTGAGATGCAGAAACAGCAACCACTCAGGAGAAGCAGGTCCAGACCCCACCTGGAGAGGTGAAACGGAGCAGGACCCTATGGCCTTCCCCCCGCCCGCCATGTCCTCTGCCTGCCTTTCGTCTGTGAAAAAAAGAAACGTTAGCCAAACAATAGGTTTAATCAGAGAGGTGAGAAAATGCAGAAACAAAGGAAAACAGTCAAAGAAGCCCAAATAATAATAGTTCAGTCATTAAGCAAAGTCAAGGACCTTTAGTTCCTCCTCAAGGGCTAGAGATAATATTCTGAGCCATGTCCTTTGAGCTATTTTAGATACGGAAACCCACCAGGTGGAAGAACTTAATTACATGGTGACCAGACTGTAGCTGTGACATAAGCTGCCACAATTCCGAGGACTGGTCTCAAGGAAATGGGAACAAACCCATCCTGGAACTGAACATTAACTGTCCTTAAAACAGTCAAGACGACGCTGATCAGACCACCGCATGGCCAATGTCAAGATGACCGTCAGAGCTGACTGTGCTGTTTCTTCCTCCATCTATAAAAGCTCTTGGGGCTTCCCTGGTGGCGCAGTGGTTGAGAATCTGCCTACCAATGCAGGGGACATGGGTTCGAGCCCTGGTCTGGGAGGATCCCACATGCCGTGGAGCAACTAGGTCCGTGCGCCACAACTACTGAGCCTGCGCGTCTGGAGCCTGTGCTCCGCAGCAAGAGAGGTCGCGATAGTGAGAGGCCCGCGCACCGCGATGAAGAGTGGCCCCCGCTTGCCAGAACTAGAGAAAGCCCTCGCACAGAAATGAAGACCCAACACAGCAAAAATAAATTAATTAATTAATAAACTCCTACCCGCAACAGCAAAAAAAAAAAAAAAGCTCTTGCCCACTGACTGTCAGGGAGGGTAGCTGGGCTGTGCACATCTGCCCTGTCCCACCCAGGTTGCCAGCCTCCGCAATGAGGCAAACTTTCCTTTCCACCAACCTTGCCCCTTTATTGGCTTTAGAGTAGTGAGCGGCTGAACCCCACTTTCGGTTACAGAGGGAACCTCTTCCACCTGGGGCAGAAGAGGGACCTCCACGTGAGCTTCTGGAGAAGCCGTGAGCGGGCACTGGGCTGATGAACCTGCCTCGCAGCTCCACGAATCCTCTGGGCAGGAGTCCAGGCCCGTCTCGAGCCCCCAGCTCCAGGACTCACCCTGGCAAGGGCCTTCCGGCGGGAAGAACGGCCACTGTCCTGAGCGCTCACACCCGCGGGACTGCTAGTCTCAGACTCCAGGACCTTTCTTTGTGTTGGACAAAGTGAAGAGAAGAGAGGTGGTCCTCAGAAGGTTCTGGAAACAGTTATGCTCCTGGGAGTAGAGACCAAACCCCTGGGAGGATCTTCCTTTCGGGAAGAATTTTGGTAATTCTGGGCCTGCAGAACAGGTGTTTCTCCATCAGCAACTCCCGACAGGTCCCCAAAGCCTGTGGCCTGAGGACAGAGTACCTTCCGGGCCACTCACCGTCAGTTGGCCTGTGACAACCTTCGATGACGTCCCACACCCTGGCCTGGCTGCCCTCGGAGCCTCCCAGCAGTCAGGCTGGCAGACGGCCTCTCTCCCTGCTGTGATGATAAGTGCCCCCTGGGGTGGACTGTTCAGACAGACAGGCTTTGAGCAGGGACAGCCGTTGAGGTCACAGACATTTGTGAGCCCAGCCTGCGAGGCTCACTTCACACCTGCAGGGGGGCCAGGCCCCAGCCTCGGAGACCTTCAGTTCCAGCCCCGGGCACACAGGCAACCCATCTGGGGCGACGGGTGGGGAAGAGACACATCATCCCCCCTTCCTCCACCTTCCCATTTGCGTCTGGGGTCTGAAATTGGAGGGGAGTGCTTCTCCAGTCCCCCGAACCCCTCCAGCATCGATAAACAGTAACAGAATTCAGGAGCTCGAAGGGTTAAACCCTGCAGCGTGAGGACAGGTCCATGCCGGGCTGG